TATTTTTATTTACTTGGTTCTTTCTGGAACTGTATTTGTGTGTACACAATTTACATGCCTGTTATTAAACTCTTCAGGCTTCGTAGGAACATCTCAACTTTTTTTTGTTCATCCTTTAATATTCCTGGGGGGAAGGGAGAAGTATTTTTTAATATACTGTAACTAAATAGCTTTTTTCTTTTTGATTTCAGAGCATGGTCTCGGAAGAGAAAATGTTTAAGAAGTTGTACCAAGATTATCCTCAAGCTTCACAATTACATTCCACAGCACCAAAAAAGGTACATTAGCTTGTCTTCAGGTTAAACCAAACCATTAATCAAATTCTTTCCAGAAAGAACTGGTGGCTTTATTTTCCTTGGTAGACGCCGACCCTCCCTGGTGGGAAGTCTCCAGGCTCTGCCCTGAAGCTCAAAGCCATGAGGAAGATGCACGAGGCAGGATGGGCTGCGGTTTCCAAAGTGGACAGGAGAAGAAAAATGAAAGAAGTTGCAAAGTTCTTTGCTTAAAAGGCAGACCTGACCAGTGCCCTGGCATTATTTCTCAGTGCCAGTAACAGTGGCACTGGTAACAGTGTTGTTATTCTCCCAGAGCTGGTACTTTGGTGCGTTTTTCTGTCCCACTCAGGGTGTTGGATACCACATTCAGGTCCGTTACACACATAAACTGCACAGCTCCAGAGCTGCTTCCACCTGCAGAGCCTTTCCCACCTTTCCCTCCTCTGTGCTAGAAAACGTCAGGACACAAATTAGCCAATTTTAAATTCTGAAATAAGTATAACTACATAGAAAGTTGTTTCCAAGCTGTTTCTGGCATTAGAAATACTGATTTTAAAGAAGTTTAATTCTGTTCTTCTAAATTTACTCTTTTTCTTAATACATAATTCACAGAAGATACTTTGTGAAATACTGAAGCTGTTAAATGTGTGCACTTTTACCTGAAGTCATCTTGCTTTTCCTGCATTTTAAATGTTCTTAGACCTTTCCTTTTCGACTGTTTTGTTTTCAGTAGCTACTATTTCAGTATGTTAAAACAGTTCTGACACTTCTAAAATTGAATAGAATTACTGCCGTTTAAAAAGAGATTTCACTTCATAAGGAATAAAATATGCACACACGTTAAGACTGTAAAAACAATGTTCAGATGTCATTAAATTGTTGATCTGAAATATAAAGTGTGGTGTGGGACTGAATGTTGTTGCTTTAAGTATTAGAACACAGACAGAAATCCCAGGCAGCCTTCCCAGGGACCAGCAGCTTCTGCCATGGAAGTGTAAGGAAAGATCTGAGCAACATCTATTCCTGTGTTAATCCTTGATTAGTCTTGGATTCACAACAACAAACTCTCATAGGTTTACTTGTTCTGGAAAAAAAACAAAAAACAAAAAAGCAGAAATTTTTCTTTCCCCTGCTGCTGTAAAAGCAAGATGTTGAAGGAGGGAGGGGAAGGGGTGATGGACCCACACAGAAGAACTGACTGGCAGACCTGCATTCCAAGCTGATGGCCCTTCTGAAAGCAGCAGGGAGGGGCGATGAGTTTTTTATTTTTTCCTCCTCTCCTTGGAAAGAGGGACATTTGTACTTTTGCCTTAATGAGGCAAGCGAAAGCTCCGAGGCCGTTTCGCTCTCGGCCTCCTCATCTGGCTGTTTTCCGGCCTCCTGTGCCCTGCTCCGCCCCCAGGCCAGACCTGCTCGGATTTCACCGGAGAGGTTTGACCCACCTGCAGAGGAGGTTTTGGGGGAGGGGGTCACTCACTCTTTTCTCTCCTCCCTTCCCGTGTTTTGGCAGCGGTTTTGTGCTCATCGACGAAGAGGGGGCGAGTCCTGGCCACAGCCAGCGGGAGTTTCACGGGAAGAACCCGCCCTTCTTTCCCCTTTTCCCCTTTCCCCGTTCCCCTTTCCCCCTTTCCCCTTTCCCCCTTTCCCCTTTC